CATGCCTGCCCGCGGAAATATAGATGTGTACACCCCCCCCCCTCGTGGCCGATGTTGCCCCGCCCCGGCGCCCGGCGTGCCCAGCCCGCGGCCACAAAAGCGCCCGGGCGGCCCTGCTTCCCCGACGGCCGCGTAGCTCAATTGGATAGAGCACCTGACTACGGATCAGGAGGTTGTGTGTTCGAGCCGCATCGTGGTCATCTTTCCCCTTTTTGCTCCGCCACCACTGTTTCGGGGGGGGGGGGGGGGGGGCAATGCGCGGAACCATAAATAACCCCCGGGTTTCGGCCTCTCGCGGCTCTGGCGGCCGGGCATGGGCCACCAAAAATCGGGGAAATACATGCACCGCCAATATATAAAATTGCCGCCCGGGCAAGGGGGGCTTGTGTGCCGGAGGGGGGGGGCCATTCCCGGCCGGACGCCGGGTTCCCCTTTGTTGGGCAGCTTTCGGCCCGGGACCACGGAGACGCCGTTCGAAAGCCGGGACACATGCTGCAGCCTGGCAGGGGGGCCCGTCGCCGGCCACCCCGCACAAAAGGCTGGCCGAGTGTCGGGGCTGCCCCCCACATGCGAGGCCGTCGCGGGCTCCCCCCGAGCAGGTCCGAGAGAAAAGCGCCCCACCCCGAGTCACGGACCTTTGATGTTCCACCCGAGGGGGGGAGAGGCGCCATTTCGCCCAGGACAAGGTACGCCTCCCTCGACCGGGGGGGGGCGGGGCGGGGCAGGGAGGCCGGAATCCCAGGGCCGTGTTTTTGCGGGGGCAGCATGGAGCAGCGACCCAGGGCGGACACACCGCCCGGCCGAGCCGCCCTCGGTTCTTCCACCCAGGCGGGCGCCTTGAACCCGGGTGGGCGGGGGGGGGGGACCAGAGCCGGCGACGCGCTCCGGATGGCCCCGAGAGGCCCAGCCAGAGTGGGGCCGGCGCCGGCCGCGGCAGATTCACGCATATATGCCCCGGAGGGTGCTCTACACCCAAGCCTCGATAGCTCAGTTGGGAGAGCGTGTGACTGAAGATCACAAGGTCACCAGTTCAATCCTGGTTCGAGGCAACTACTCTTTTGCCCGGCGCGCCCCGAGGGCGGGGCAGCCCCGGTCTCTTTGCGCATAATATATCCCGTCGGGGTGTCCCCACGCCGAGGAGAGAAATACACACGGGCGCGCGCGATGCACAAGGCGGCGGCAAAAGCGGCCGGGGCAAAAAGCAATGGTGCTCATTGGGTGGATCGAACACCCGACCTCCAGTTTACTAGACTGGCGCTCTACCACTGAGCTAAACAAGCGGCGGCGTGCGTCGACCGGGAATCGAACCCGGGTCTACCGCGTGGCAGGCGGCAATTCTACCACTAAACCATCGACGCGCTTCCGTGAGGAGCCCCACGGCCGCTGGGCTTATGACGGACACCTTTTTGTTTCCCCCGCCCCGCGGCGCACGGAGCACCGGCCCTGGCAGCGGTGCACGGGGGAACGTGGGCACGTGCGGGCCCCGCGTGACACGCGGCCCTGGGAGCATCCTGGCCGGGCTCGGCCCTCCCGCGCCCGCGCAAACGCCGGCCGCCGGCCGCCGGCTCCAGGGGCTGTTGTTGGAAGGCAGCGGGGGCCGGGCCCCCCCCC